CAACCTCCTACTCCTGGGCTCAAGCGAGTCTCCTGCCTCTACCTCCCAAGTAGCTGGGACTACAGGCACCCGCCACAACGCCTGGCCATTTTTTTTTGGTTGCAGCTATCATTGTTGTTTGGCGGGCCCAGGCTGGGGATTCGAACCCGCCACCTTAGGTGTATGTGGCTGGCGCTTTAGGTGTATGTGGCTGGCGCCTTAGCCGCTTGAGCCACAGGCGCTGAGCCTAATCTCTGACTCTTAATGTTCTCACTTATAAAATAGGAATAACATTACCTACCACTGAATATTTTTGTGCAATTAAATGAGATTGTATACAAACAAAGAGTAGGGAAGACAGAAGACCTGTTAGAATAGCTATTGTTTAGGCACTTTAAGACCTTAGACTAAGAAGAGTTAAATGTCAATAAGGAAAAGAGCACATCAAGATAAAATTGAGCAAATGATATAATTAGACAATTAGTTTATTCAGCAACTGTTAACACTTAAGAGACTATAATAAATGCAGTTTATGGAAATAGAAGAAATACACACATATTTATCTTGTTAGCAGTCAAATTACTATGAAAGAATAGTGATTTTCTACTTTTTTCCATCAATAGACAAAACACAGAATAAGTTTCTTGAAGTTTGGAAGGATAAGCAAATACAGATTTTTCAGTATTACAAATAGGAGTATAATTTGCATTAACTTTCTTAGAGAATGTGCATTAGCAGTAGTGTCTTAAAAACCTTAAAAATGTTAAAGGAAAAAAAGAAAAAATTTGACCCAGCAATACCATACAGTAGGCATATCAGTTACACTTTTCCACACTGGCATATACAGTGATTTTTATTGAAGAGCGCTTTATAATAGCAAAAGATTATAAACAACTTAGGTAGAGAAATGCTTAAATAAAGTAGATACACTGATACAATAGGATGCTGCTTCGCATTAAAGGAATAGAGGCCATTCATCAAGAGTTTTACTTAACTTTTGTTAAGTAAAAAGAGCAAGGATTTAAGCACTGTATAGAAATCTATTTGTATATTTTTAAGTTAAAAATCTATATCTATACACATGTACATATACACACATATAAAATATCTATAAATATACACAAGAAACTGATTGCAGTCGTTATTTCTATCAAGAGGCACTGGACACTTGGGGTTCAGAAGTCAAGAGAACGTCCTTATTTTTCATTATACTACATTTGTACCTTTTAATGAGGTGCATGTATTACATTCATTCAGAAAAAGGCAATTTTTAATAAAAACAACTTCAATATTAGACTTAAGTAGTGAAAAATATTTGTGTGATTTATAATTAGAAGGATGTCCGTGAGATAAGATAATCAATATCTGTGAATATTTGAGATAATATAGAGCAAGACCATATTATGAAACTAGGATGGATGAACCATGAGTTGAATATTTTTATTAAGTTGATTATTTACTTAATTTATTAAGAAAACATGCTAATACTCTGCTAACATGTGGTTTGACACAGGCTGTGCTGTCAATCACAATTAATGACATTCGTGATCTAGTTGTGTTTTGGATTTTTAGCTATTTTTTTTTGAGTTGTGAAAGTCATAGAAACATAATTCAAAATGATGTTTATTATCTTTCTCACCCTTCTTCCCAGAGATAACCATTATTAACAGTTTTTTTGGTGATGTTCCAGAAATACCCTATGCCTATAAAAGCATTTATAGACTTATTGTTTTGTTTATTGAGATTCATTAAGAGTGCAAAGAATTAGGTTACACTGATTATATTTGTTAGGTAAAGTTCCACTTTAATTGTATTCTGCCTCTAAAAGGTGTGCCATACACCATGACCCCCCCCACTCCCTCATTTCCTTACCTCCCACCTTGTATTAACTTATCTACTGCCCTCATATTAGAATTGAGTACATTATATTTTTGCTTCTCCATTCTTGTGATGCTTTAGTAGGAAGAATGTGTTCCAATTCAATCCACGTTAATACAAAAGATGTAAAGTCTCCATCTTTTTCAATGGCTGAATAGTATTCCATGGTATACATATACCACAGCTTGTTAATCCATTCCTGAGTTGGTGGACATTTAGGCGGCTTCCACATTTTGGCGATTGTAAATTGAGCTGTGATAAACAATCCAGTGCAGATGTCCTTATGACAAAAGAATCTTCTGGGTAGATGCCTAGTAATGGGATTGCAGGATCAAATGGGAGGTCTAATTTGAGTTCTTTGAGAATTCTGCATACTTCTTTCCAAAAGGATTGTGTTGGAAAGTTTGCAGTCCCACCAACAGAGTAGAAGTGCTCCCTTCCTTTCACATCACATCAAGCATCTGCAGCTTTGAGACTTTGAGATGGCCATTCTTACTTGGCTTAGATGATATGTCAGAGTGGTTTTGATTTGCATTTCTCTGATGATTAGGGATAATGAGCATTTTTTCATAGGTTTGTTAGCCATTTGTCTTGTTTTCTTTAGAGAAAATTCATGTTACTTGCCCAGTGATACATGTTGGCTCTTTTTTTGTTGATTAATAGCAGTCAGAATTTTCTCACTGTCTTGTATCAGTTATTTTTGTGTAATTTTGGTTTTTTCCTTCCTTTTCCTCCACTTTTCTTTTCTTTCTTTCTTTTTTTTTTTTTCTTTTGGAGACAGAGTCTTACTCTGTCATTCTTGGTAGAGTGCCATGGCATGACAGCTCACAGCAACCTCAAACTCTTGGGCTTAAGCGATTCTCTTGCCTCAGCCTCTCAAGTAGCTGGGCCTACAGTCACCCACCACAACGCCTGGCTATTTTGTTGTTGTTGTTATTGTTGTCCAGGCCGGACTCAAACCCGCCAGCCCCATTGTATGTGGCCACCACCTTAACTGCTAAGCTACAGGAACCAAGCCCCCCTCCGCTTTTCATTTTGACAGCATTATAGAAAAATTGTAAGAGAAGTAAAAAAAATCCTGAATCACTTAACCCAGATTTATTTAGATTTCAATATTTATCCTAATGTTGTCTCTTTATAACAAGAAAATCTTTTCTGCACGTAATTGTCAGGGCTTTTTAATCTCCTTTAATTTTGTACAGTTCCTCAGCTCTTTTGTAATAGTTTTCATGACACTGGCATTGTTGAAGAATATATGCCAGTTATTCCATAGACTGTTCCTCAATTTGAGTTTGTCTTAAATTTCTTCATGATTAGAAATGAAATGATTATTTCATTTTTGCCGTGAAGTACCACAAAACAAATGCTATATGTTTTTGAGTGTGTGGTATCAGGAGACATATCATGTCTTTTTGTCCCATTATGGTTGATG